TGAAGCCGGAGCCCTTGCAGAGGAGGCGCAGGGCCCAGATTTGGGTCAAGAGCCGGGGATTTGGGCACCGTGAAGGATTTGGGCTCACTGCAAGGCTGCAGGTGGGATGTGAGGGTCTGGGTTTGGTGCAAGGGTCTGGGCTTGATGGAAACGGTCCAGGCTGAAGGCGAGGACCTGGGTTTGGTGTTGGGTTTGTGTTTGGTGTTAAGGGTCCAGGTTGGGAGCAAAAGGTCCAGGCTCAGGGAAAGGATTCGGTTTTGGTGCAAGGGTCCATGCTAAAGTGGATGGTCTTTGGAAAGTTGGTGGGATCTGGGGACACAGAGCAGGAATGCTGGGGCTCGACGTGAGCATCAGTGTCACTGCCAGCATCTTTCGCACAGTAGTAGGTGGCCGTGTCGTCGGCCCTGAGGCTGTTCATCTGCAGCGTGACCGTGCTCTGGGAGTTGTCCTTCGAGATGGTGAAGCGTCCTTTGACCGATGGAGCATAGTAGGCGCTGCCACTGCTGTAAATACCTGCGACCCACTCGAGCCCCTTCCCGGGCGCCTGTCGCACCCAGTTCATGGCATAGCTGCTGAAGGTGAAGCCGGAGGCCTTGCAGAGGAGGCGCAGGGACCCCCCGGGTGTCTGGAGACCACCTCCGGACTCGACCAGTTGCACGGCCGCCCGCAGCCCTGCGGAGAGAGAAAGGACGGGATTGAGTCACCCAGGTGCCTGCATCACCCAACCACCCCAAAATCCATGTGCTTGGGGTTTGGGGGATCCTACCTGGAAGGGCTGCGAGGAAGATGACGAGGAGGAGGAAGGTGGAATGGGGGGCTGCTCTGGGGTGGGTCCTGCTGGCAGGGTCCTCTCTGCCCAAGAGGACTCGAGTTGCTCAGGTTGATGGTTACACCAAAGGTGGGTTCAGGGAGCCTTGAGCATCCCTGCCCTGTTTCCAGACCCCTGACCCAAACCTGGACCCCTTGAAATGAGCCCAGACCCCTGTCCTAACCCTGGACCCCTTGCTCGCAACACAGACCCGTTGCTCCAAGCCCAGACCCCTG